AAATTTTTTCAATTTAATGTAATCAAAATTATCCATTTTGCATTTCATAATGTTCTCTATCGATTGTTTGGTCATAAATTCTTTGTTCTCCATAAATCTGACAGGTAAACTATTTCATTAAGGCCATTTCTGAGCAAGTTTCGGAGACTGATTTTTAGACACAGGCCAAGCTTCAGTCTTAAAGAGTACACTGAAGAGTAGCAAATGCATGGAGGTTAGAATGTCCTGTGAGGTCAGTCCAGCAAGCAGTGACTATTTTAAATTTGCCACAGCCACTGCTATTTATGCTTTGTGTCTAGTAAACTATAAACTAAATAGAATGGAGGAAAACCCACAAAAACTCTAGGGATCAGTCTTAGAGTATTGTCCTTTAGTACATTCGATGAGCTGTTTGTCTAGGTTAGTTCTTTAAGAACTTTCTTTTCAGTTATTTGAGTAAATCAGCTGAGATCCCATTCTTGAATCTTAACCTTATTAATACAGGAAAGCTTTATTAATCTGTATTAATCTGGACAAAGGGTGGACTGAGGTTTACCTTTTTCAATATCTAAACCCATTGTCATTTCCAAAATCATTTTCTATCACCTTCACATGGAAACTTCTTCTCCTCCTTTGAGGTTAACTAAATCCATTTAATCAGAATTCTGGTAGCTGTTGTTTACTGACTTCCAAGATGCTCCCCCCCTTTTTTTAATTAACATTTATGTGTTATACTTTTAAAAAAGTTTGTTTATTTTTAGTTTTTGACATTCACTTCCATAAGATTTTGAGTTTTAATTTTGTCCCTCTTCCTCTCCCTACCCCACCCCAAGGCAGTATGCAATCTGATATAGGCTCTACTTATATATTTATATGAAGCATATTTTCCCATTAGTCATGATGTAAAGGTATGTTATATTTTTTAAAAATTTCATTTCTTTTTAGTTTTCAGCATTCGCTTTTATAAGATTTTGAGTTCTAAATTTCCCTCCCTCCCCAAGATAGCCTGTAATCTGATTTAGGCTATATATATATATATATATATATATATATATATATATATACACATATATATATAATCATAGTAAACATATTTCCACATTCGTCATGTTGTGAAAGAGGAATCAGAACAAAAGGGAAAGACCATGAGAAAGAAAAAACAAAAAATAACAACAACAAAAAAGAGAAAATAATATGCTTCTATCTGCATTCAGACTCCATAGTTCTTTCTTTGGATATAGATAGCATTTTCCATCATGAGTCTTGTGAAATTGTCTTAGATCATCACAATGCTGAGAAGAGCTAAGTCTATCAAAGTTGGTCATCACACAATGTTGCTGTTACTGTGTACAGTGTTCTCCTGGTCCTGCTCACTTCACTCGGCACCAGTTCATGCAAATCTTCTCAGATTTTTCTGAAGTATGCCTGTTCACCATTTCTTATATCACGATAGTATTCCATTATATTCATATACCACAACTTGTTCAGCCATTCTCCCACTGATAGGCATCCTCTCAATTTTCAATTCTTTGCCACCACAAAAAGAGCTGCTATAAATATTTTTGTACATGTAGGTCCTTTTCCCATTTGTGTGATTTCTTTGGGATACAGTGCTAGAAGTGGTATTGATGCTCCCTTTCTTTCCTTAATGTGTTCAGTACCTGACTCACAGTCTTTCTCTCCTCTCTAATTCCTGCCGTCATACTGGAGGACTTCAGCATACATATTAATACTTCCTCAAACACCCTAACTATACAGTTCTTCAATTAACTAATTTCCCATGACCTAGTCTTCCATCTAACCTCAGCTACACACAGAGATTTTGGTCTTGCTGTTACCCACAAATGCTCCACTTCTATGTTCGTGAACTCTGAAATTCCCTTATCTGATCACAATCAGTTGTCATTTCTACCTCTTCCCCTACCTTGCAACCCCAAACCCTTTTCTTAGTCCTCTCTGTGACATTTAGTTTCTTGACTTCTCAGTTCTTTCCCAGACTATAGCCCCTGCACTGGCTGTGCTCTCTTTCCTTCCCCAATATGACCCTTTGGAGAACCAGTTCAGCTCTACTGTCTTCTTCCTTCCAGTCCTTTGCCTCTTTATTTTGTTGAAGATCTTGCCCTGCCAAGCCTTAGTCTTGGAATACTCCCACCATCTGCTGCCTTCATTCCTACTTATGTGCTGCCAAATGAAGCTGCAGAAGAAAATCACAAAAGTGTGCTGTTTGGATCCCCTCCAAATTTATGTTACATAATTTCAACTGGACCCTCACTGTGACAAGGCAATCCTTTTGTGTCTCCCTAATTGATTCTCCATCCCATTCACTACAGTGGTTTTTCTAAACCTTTTCATCCTTCCTCAAACTTTCCATAGCTTTTCCTCCTCCCCACCCTCAAAGCTGAGAACATTGCCTCATATTTTACTGAAAAAAATGGAGAACATTTGCTAAAAGATCCTTCTTCTCCCCTCATTTTCATCTCACATCAGTCAGGTGTCTTCTGCCACTAACTCCTCCTTCACTCGTATCTCATGTGAAGTTGTGGCCCTTGCCAGGGTAAACCTCTCTATATACACAAGTGATCCCTTTCCATCTTGTCTTCTCCAGCAGATTGCCCCCTCTATTAGCTCTACTTTCTCTCTTGTCTTCAATCTCTCTCTGTCTACTTGCCGCTTCTCTACTGCCTACAAATATACCCATCTCTCCTCACACACTGCCCCACCCCGCCATGCTCACTTCATCCATCCATCCCTACTAATGTTCCATATCTCGCCTTACTTCAGTGGCTAAGCTTGAGAAGGCCTTCTACAATAGATGCTTTCACTTCCTTCCCTTTTACTCCCTTAACTCTGTACAGTCTGAATTGTGATCTTACCTTTCAACTAAAACTCTTTCCGTAGTTAATAGTGATTTCTTAATTGACTGATCTAATGACCTTTTCTCAATCATCTTTCTTGACTTCTCCACAGCTTTTGATTTTATTGATCACCTTCTTCTCCTTGAAGTTTCCATCTTTTTAGGTTTCATTGGCATGACTCTTTTCTTGGTTTCCTCCTACCTACATGACTGCTTTTTTTCAGTCTCTTTTGCTGACTCTTCATCGTGGTTATACCTCATAACTGTGGGTGTTTTCCAGGGCTTTGGATTCCAGATTATGGAGCTTTTATAAAAGAATACTAAATGTTTTTTAACGTAGTCTTTCTTTGTGATTGATTCCACAGGGAACTCAAATTGCGGAACTATGTACCTGAGGATGAGGAGCTGAAGAAGAGGAAGGTGCCTCAGGCCAAACCAGCCTCAGGTAGGGTCTTGGAAGTAAGAGATGAATGGAATTGATAGGGAAAAAGAAAGAGTAGAGGAAAAGGACAGCAACTCTGCAATAATGCTGCAGTCTGTTTGGGGAAAGTTAATGGCCACAAACATGAAACTGTATCTTTCCCATGCTCTTTTGTACTCCCATTGTTAACATAGTAGCTGGCACCTAGTGGGTGCATAATGAGTATTTATTGACTCTCTGACTTGATGGATTTGATTTATTTGGGATTGTGAGTAGGAAAGGGGGATCAAAATAGTCCCATGAACTACTTACATTATTTAGCCAGTGCTGGATGGGAACAAGTTTTAGCAGGTCCCTTCGTCCTATTTGTTTCCCTGTATCAATAACACTTTTTAAAAATGCACGTTGCAAATCATTTAATAGTAAAAATAAAGCTCACAGTCTAATAAGGAGAAATATACAAACAACTGCATACAGCTAAGATGTGTACAGGATAAATAGGAGATAATTCCAGAGAGGAAGGCAGTAAGATTTTTTTTTTTTTGGATGAGGCAGTTGGGGTTAAGTGACTTGCCTGCAGTCACACAGCTAGTATCAAGTGTCTGAGACCGGATCTGAACACAGGTCCTTCTGACTCTAGGTCCAGTGCGCAATCCACTGCAACACTTAGCTGCCCCTCCGAAGGCACTAAGATTAAGGACGACTGGGCAAGGTTTCTTGCAGAAAGTGGGGACTTTGGCCAAGGCTTAAAGGAAGCCAGGGGTGGAGATGAGAGAGAGAGTTTCAGGCAGTGGGGGACAGTGAATACAGAGAGTCAGGAGATGGAGTGTCATGCCCTCTGTTTTCTCAGTGTTGCTGTGCCACGGGCCAGTGGGTTTCCAGTGCCACTGCAGCCCTCCTTGGTCAGCGTGTTCCTTCAGGCGTTAACCCTAAGCGGTGAGCTCTGCAAACCTTAAAGAGCTATAGGTGATGATGAATGTGGTGATGACATTGACAGCAACAGCAATGGGAAGATACACGATGGCCGTAGATAACCTGTGAAAAAGTGTTATGAAAGATGTCATCCATGAGCTCTATGACCATAAAAAGAGGGGGCTGCTCATTTAGGAAGGATGGTAATAATGGAATCGTCTATGTGGTGTAGGTTAGCTGTATAATGTTTAAAGACATTTTGAGAGAGTGGTCCCCAACACATTGGGTAGACCTTTTTTATCCAGGATATATGAAAAGACATGGACAAAACTTAATACCGGAGGAAGGGGTCTAGATGGGTTTCAATTTGTATTATTATAGGGAGTGTCCACATTAATAAGGTCACAAATCCATTGAAGTACCTGATGATTACATGAAACATCAGTTTTAGGATCTTAAAATTTAGAATTTAAATGAACTTTCTAAATATTGGTTCTAAAGCTGAAATGTACCTTTAAAGTCATCTAATGCAACCCCTTCATTAAATTCTTTTAAAAATTCTGAATGTAAACACTGAAGAAAGGGGAGCATTTCAATATGCAGATTAGAACACAAAAATAATTGTATACGAACTGTGAATCTATTTCATACCACTTTCTTTTTTAAAAGTATCTCTTGTGTGACAACTTTTAAAAGTATTTCAATGGCCTTACCCTTTTTTTTTTGTTCTTGCATCACTATTACTATTCTCTCCCCGAATGTCCTATTTAAAAAAAGAAAAAGAAAAAAAGAAAAAAAAATCCTCTTGTGACAAACATAGTCGTGGAAAACAGATCCTTGTCCAAAAATGTATGTCTCCCTGCACACTTTCTGCACCTTTCCCACCATCTCCTCTCTGCCCGTGGGCTACTAGCTAATGTTTTGGCTAGTTTTGGTGTGGAAAATGTCACTTAGTGAAGTTTCTGATTGGATTTCTTGATCATCATTCGTCTGCTGTGAGGCAGTCTTCTTGCCCAGCTTCCTCTTTTAGAGGAAGACTCACAGAGGTTGAGTAACTTGACCAAAATTGCACAGTAAGAAGCCAAACTGAGATTCCAATGAGTAAATGTTTAGAACCAATGGTATTTCCATTAACCATGTTTTCCCTGTCTAGTTTGAACCCTTGCCTTTACCACTCCCTCTTCCTGCTTCCCCTGTTTTGCTGATGAAGTATTTGGGACGAGAGGTTACAGGACTTTGCCAAGGTCTTACAGGTAGTAAGTAACAGAGCTGGGATTTGAATCCCTCTGACTTTAAATCCAGCATTTTATTTAGTTATCTGTGTGTTTCCTGGGGTTTAAACAGTCTTAGCTCCCATCTTGGAGCTGCTTTTCAGGTGAATGTGCTCTGGAAAGGTTTAGAAACCAGTGCAGTCCAAGCTTAGGAGGAAGAAGCTCTTGTCAGCTCCTTGTGATACTGATGCCCAGGACAGGACAGTGAAACAAAATCCCCTAGTTGAGACAGATAATTTCCTTGGCACAGGATACAGAGAAAATGATGTCCCCTGCCATGGCACATCTGATAGCTAAAAATACAGTGGGAAGGCATGTTAATTGTGTGTGTCTTCTGATCACTGAGGCAGTTTCTTCCAGGGGCCTCTTCCTGTGTTGCCTGGCTCTGCCTTCCTGCCTGAGTCACTGCCTTTACCTTGTGCTGTTTTCTTGCTCCTTCTAGTGGAAGAGAAAGTAAAAGACCAGCTGGAAGCAGCAAAGCCTGAGCCTATTATTGAGGAAGTGGTATGTCTATTAAATGATGTTTCTCTTCTCCCCCTCTATTTCCCACCCCCTACCCCATCACAACAAGCCTTTGTCAAGGTTCCTGTTTGAGCACCGAATAATTGTGTTAAACTGATATAAATCCTGCTTCCTAGGAACTTAGCATCTAGCACAGGTAGTAGTCACTACTCATCTACTTTTGTGAGCAAACACAGGTGATAAATTATGTACAAAATGTATGCAGTGAAGCAGTTGATTATAATGATGAGGAACTATTTGGAGGGTGTCCCTTTTTGGACAGAAGAGAGTCCATGGGGAAACCATGTAGATTTCCTTCCTGTGACTAGTGTGCCTGTGTGTTCTCTTTCTGTGGGCTCTGGTTCTATTGACATTATGTTTCTTTTTCCCTAGGATTTGGCCAACCTTGCCCCCAGAAAGCCAGATTGGTAAGTGCTGCTACCCATAGACATTTTCTTCTTGACATAATGAGCCCCCTTACTGTTTTCCTGTGGTAACTGCAAACATTTCCTGTGGTACTTTACATTTGCAAAGTGCTTCTCATACATAGTCCTATGAGATAGAAGGAATTTTACAGATGAAGAAACAAAGGTTTAACAAGGTGAAATTGGCCCATATTCATATCAGTTATTGAGGATGAGAGCCAGGATTTGAACCCAGGTCTCGTCTTTCCAATTCTAGCATTTTTTCTACTTTACCAGCCCAACCATGTATGTCCCTTCCATGCTTGTTTTCATTTTGATGATTTGACTTGACAGTACCTTTGCCAAAAGTGTGGTTGAAGTTGACTTAACGTTTTTCTCCATGAGTTCAGTGTAGCTAAAATTCTGGGTACCCTGACATAAAAGGCAGGCAGCTCTGTGAAGCATTTGCAGAGACTCAGGAATAGCAGCCAAAAGCTCCTCTAGTCCCTCCCAGCCACACTTGTGTTGATCCCCCGCCCGGCAGCTGCCTGGAAGTTGAATTGCAATAATAATAGAAAGAAGAGAAAATAATTTCAATTTCTTTTATATCCTGAACAGACAGGTCTTCTTTTCATGGCTGCTTTAGCCAATTTTCAGGGTGAGAATGTCGGCCAGAATAGATTCAGACAGTGCCTTTCTGGTCTGCCTCCTGTCTTCCCACCCATTTTGGAACAGAATAGAGTGGACCCTTTTCTTACTATGGAAGACTTTGTAAGACTCTCGACGTCAGATAGCTCAAGCATGCTTTAAACATTCTCTTAAGACAGAGTGGAAGGAGAAAGATCTTAAGGCCAGCTGCTACCCACCAGAGGCTGTGATAACCAGATTCTGAAGAAGGTCCTTGAAAATCTAGGATATCTTCTTCAAAGAGGCCTGGCTAGAGAGATGTTCAGTGTGAAGGAAGACAAGGGCCAGGCCTGCTAAGCTCCTGATCCCTTTGCTAATTGAACCCAGAAGGGGAGAAACAGAGGACCTGGGATTAGTCTGCCTTGGTCTGACCTTGTAGGAGAAATTCCTAAAAGTTTATTTTCAGAAATGGGGTTTTTTTTTAAAAATTTTTTTTAACACTTTTATGTTTATAAGGTCATTGGGGTGGGGATAGCTCAAAGCAGTTTTCCATGTTATCTCACTTGTTCTCATTACCTTCCTACAAAGTGTAGAAGAACAGGATTTATTCTTCCTACCTTATAGGTAGTGGGATCTCAGATATAGGCAAGTGAAATCATACCTGACTTTAAACTCAGCTCTTTGGCCTGTATATTCTACTGCTGCCTGGAGTTTGAAGCCATCCCTTAGGCATGAACATAATTAGCTATTGTTTATCTCTCCTTAGTTGTTAATAGGCCAGGGAATAGCTCCCGGCTTCCAGCAAATCCATCTTCTTTGAAGAGGAGGAGTGAGTTAGGTTGGGACAACAGGTAATGGGATGAATTACAAAATGTTCTAGTCTATTTTTTGTGTATGTGTGCATGTGACTTAGTCATGTATTTTTGACTTTGAAGTGAAAACGCTGCAACTCCTAATCTGTCCTTGTGTTTTGAAAGAAGTTCCTGGAGGTCTTGTGCTCCAGCTACCACCTAGTGAAAGTTGGGTAAGCTTGATTTGTCCCTAGCAACACTCTGCCCTTGTTACCTAATGGCCTGAGCATCTTGTTCCAGAAACCACTGGACTATTGATGGCTTCTTGAAAGGACAATGACCTAGGCCACTTTCTTTTACCATCTCGTTAATGAGTTTACCCTAAAGGAGCCCAGGTCAGAAAAATACTCTTGATTACCGGATAGCCAACTCCAACTAATAATAATGGAAAGAGTGCTTAGCTTGGGGTTAGAAGACTTGAGTTTGACTCTTGGCTCTGCTACTTACCAGTTTTATGTCCTTGAGCAAATTACTTGTGCCCTCTCCATAAAACAAGAGGGTTGGATTATATGATCTCAGGGACCATTCCAATTCTCTCTGTTGATCACAGACTATTGAACTTTATAGATAGACCATAAAAGTTATTGTTGGGAGACACTCCTAGATGAGATCCAGACTCACTCAGGAGCATTTGACCTAGCTGCCCACCCAGGAAGAAACAATCTGGAGAATGCCTTGTGTGTAGACTGCAAGAGACAGTTGAAGGGCTCGTAGAATTGTTCCATCACTAGCAGCAACAACAGCTGATCACATATAAAGCACCTTCCAGTGAGGGAGGCCTTGACATCCATTATCTCTTTTGAGCTTCATCACAATCCTGTGGAGTAGACATTACAGGTGTTATCATCCCCAATTTGCCTATAAGGAAACTGAGGCCCAGAGAGGTCACATTGATAGTAAGTAGCAAAGCTTGGATTTGAACCCAAGCCACTGACTACAGATCTAGTATGTTTTCTTCTATGTTGCACAACCTTTCCTTTGTCTGCATACATATGTCTGAATTGCAGGATGAGATTTCACATATACTTGATCCTATGATGGTTAGAAAATGGGACCATTCCTTGATGAATAAACATTGATTAAATTCTCTTTGCATGTCTGTGCCCTGTTCTGGTTACTTAATTGATAGAGGAAGCATAGAGTTCCCGATTTGAGAAGAGCTGGCCAGATCCCTATCCTTAAGGAGTTTTTGGTCTGATCTAGGTGAAGCATATAAGAAAAATATTTAAACTAGATGAGAAACATGCACAAATACAGTAAGGAATATAGCAGTTTCCATCAGTGCTGAGGGTTTGCTGGAGTAACTAGAGTAATGGTAGGATTAGTCTAAGAAGACTTTCTGGAGGCACTGAGTTTACAACAGACTTTTGAAGATAAATGCCAGTTAACAGACACAGAAAGCTCTATGTCTGTTAATAAACACAGGCGATAAATTATTCACAGTGCATGTGGTGGGGCAATTAAGTATAGTGAGAATTGAATACAAAGGTGATAATTAATAGACTCTGCATCTTTTTCTGCTTAGCTGGCATCTGTGTCACCGGCAGAAGTCTGTTGTCCCAAGTGGTTATGAGAAGTGCTCTGGGGCACTTGTCATCTTGGTTTCTCCAGAGAAAGGACTGCCCAGGGGAGGGCCCAGAACCATCTCACTTGAGGGCAGCATGAGGTGTTGACTTTGTGGCACATCCTTTTCTTGTAGTGGGCAGAAGTTATGTGCTCAACAGCTTGTTGGACTGTGTTGTCTCTTCCCACACCCCAGCAAAGGGTGAAGCAGTCTTCTCCACACTGGTGTTCTTGTTTCATCCTCTCATCTCAAAGGCCTCTTTTCTAGTCAAGGGCTATGCTGTGTTTTCTTGGGTAGTTTTCATTGCTTTATCTAGCTGGGAGAAAATTACTTTGCCAACCTTAACCCTCCACTCCTGGCCTTTGCCTCTTTGAATCCTTCCTGACCATCATTTAGAAACCAGGTCAGATACCATCTATTTCATGAAGTCGTCTTATTCCCCCAGCTGAAAATAACCTTTAGCCCTGAACTTTTAGAGTACCATTTTTTTTTTGTTATTCTTATATACTTAGCATATTCCATTTTGTTTTAGCCTAGTGTACATGGTTGACTATTGACCTACTGAAGGATTGAATGTAACCATAACATTCCTTTAAGGCTGTTTTGGTTTGACTCAGAGTGAAAAGTTCCATAGATCACCTGCCTGACTTTTCTTACTGTTGCACGTGGGAACAACCCCACCATGAGGCAGCTGTTGGTACAACAGATAGAGTACTGGGCCTGAAATTCCAATCAGGCCATAGACCTTTATTAGTTGTGTAACCCTGGGCAAATCATTTAATTTCTCTCTGTCTCACTTTCTCCAGCTGTAAAATGGGGGTAATAATAACACCTACCTCCCAGGATTGTTATGAGGATTAAATGAGATAATAATTGCAAAGTGCTTATCACAGTGCCTGGGTGCGTAGTATTCCCTTCCTCACCATAATTAGTGAGGATGACCCTGTTTGTGATGAAACAACTTTTTTATTACACTGTGTTGAGTCATTCCACACGCCAAAGAACATGCACTGTTAGAGTATACGCTAGTATTGCCAAAGACACTTGACTTTGGAAAAAGGCTCTCGGAGTAGCACTGCTTAGAGAAAACCCTTTATTATTTTTACTTTAATATGAATTAGTTTTAGATCCTTTTTTGAGAAGAGATTCTGGTTAGAAGAGAGGGAATGTCTTAAGACTAACAAATAATCATATTATATGTCCCTTTACATTTACAGAGCACTTAACTTTCAACAGTCTATGAGGTAAAAGTGGAGTGGGTACTACCCTGTGGAACTGTAAGACACATTCCTTGAAGACCTTAGTTTATCAATCATTCTTTCTTCCTCTCTCCGACCTCCCCCATCTTTTTTTTTCTACTCTTCTCCTCTTTCATCAGATCTTTTTTCTGCACTTGTTCCTTTTGTCTGTAAACATGCTCAAATGATCCCTGTCTAAGACAAATATTTCTCTTCCAGAAAGCTTTCCCCACTCAATTGTCTTTCCTTATTTACTCAACTTTACTGGATCTGTGATCTTGATGAGGATACTCCCTCCATTGGTTTAGATTGCAGCCCCTTTATGCCAGCTCATCCTGTGCTTCTTCTCCATCCATGTCTGTCCTTCCCGAGTCCTCCAAGGGTTCTATCAGTGTACGCAGGCCTTTCTCTGCGTCTTTGGACAGTAGCTCCCAGGGCTTTTCCTTGGTTAACCATTACTCTCCATCATGGCTCCTTTCCTTGTCAGACATTTCTTTGATATATATTTAACATTGCTTCTCCTGTGACTCTTTATTGGCAGTAGGCTTTAGACTACTCATATCTACTGGAAATATATCCACTGCCCTTTGAGGGACCTTCAGCTTTTAATTCTTTGGACACTTCATGTTCTCTAGCTATTATAGCATCCCTGTGAGAATGTTGGTGTTATGAGGGTAGACCTTTGTTTCAAGGACGTAATGGGCATTTAAAGCATTGTGAAATTTCCTAACTCTAGTCTAACCTAAAGTGCTTTAGAAAATGTTAGCTGTTATTCTCCTCTCTTCATTTACGGGCCTACTTCATTGTCCATCTGCAGGATCTGTTCAAGAGACATATTTTGAGTAATAGCATGGCATAGCAGCTGGAATTCTAGACATGGAGTCGAGAATACCTACATTTAAATCCTACCTTTAGCACTATTTTTTCCTACCTTTGTATGTTTATGCTGTCTCCTGTGCTTGGAAATGCCCCTTCCCAGTCCTGGTCTGTTGAAATAATCTCCATCTTTTGTGGTTTGGTTCAGTACTTTTTTAAATTTTTATTTTTTTTTAATTTTTAACATGTGTTTTTAAAACTCGGGGTTACAG